ATAAAAATGGCAAAGAAACACATGAGGAAATGTTCCCCATCCCTGGTTGTGAAGGAAATGCAAATAAAGACAACCCTGAGATACCACCTTACCCCAGTCAGAATGTCCCATATCCACAAATCAGCCAATGACAAATGCTGGAGGGGATGTGGAGAAAGGAACCGTATTACACTGCTGGTGGGAATGTACACTTATACAACCACTTTGGAAAGCAGTCTGGAGGGTCCTCAGAAAGCTAAATATTGACCTCCCTTATGACCCAGTCATTCCACTTCTAGGCATCTATCCTGAACAACAGGAACCAGTATACAAGGACACATGTACCTCCATGTTTATTGCAGCACTGTTCACAATAGCCAGGATATGGAAGCAACCCAGGTGCCCCACCACAGATGAATGGATCCAAAAATTGTGGTATCTATACACAATGGAATATTATGCAGCCATTAGAAATGACAAAATAATGGCATTTGCAGGGAAATGGATGGAGCTAGAAGAAATCATGTTGAGTGAGGTAAGCCAAGAGCAAAGAGACAAACGGTACATGGTCTCCCTGATAAGTGGATGTTAAATCCAAACGTTAGGTGATACGACAAAATTAACAGGACTTAAGAAACAAAGAACTTCCACTCATCTGGTCAAACCACTACTAAATATCCCCATGCTGCTGATCACATGTATGGTGTATATGTGTACACAGTTATATGTTATAGACTGTGATAGACAATTTGCTCCAGGAAAGTTAGAATGAACTTGTGACTTTAAATGAGCATCACTATTCCACAATACTGTGAAATTTGGGAAATTATGTAATCACTTAATCACACACACAAAAAAGAAACCACCAGAAAACTAGAAGTGGCGCTATAGCTCAAGTAGAGCATGAGCTTTGAGCTGAATTGCTCAGGGACAGCTCCCAGGCCTAGAGCTCAAGCCCCACGACTGACAAAAAAAAAAAAATCTTTCATGCGATTGTTTCTAACATATTTATAAGATTATGTCTTTGTTGCTTTGTATGTCCCTCCCCCATGGTATAACCTCTGCTTTCACTATATATGATGTTGGTATATGTGGAGGGGAAGGGAAAAACAAATCGTTAAAACAGATACAGGAGGACCCATTGCAACAATGAGATGTACAAGTCGTTATGTCGAAATGAACTTTACAACTTTGGTGGGGGGGGAGGGGGGGAGGATGTAAAGGGATGGGAAGGGGAAACAAAGGAGGAGGCTACAATGCTTGGTAAGAAATGTGCTCATTATCTTACCCATGTAATTGTAACCCCTCTGTACAGTATTTTCACAATAAAAAAATAAGTTTATAAAAAAAATAAAAATAAAAGGGGGTCTAGGGACATGGTTTGAGTGGGAGACCCCAGCATCAGTCTCAAAAGAGAGGGAGGTGGGATGAAGGGTGTAGCTGCGCAGTAAAGCACTTAGTACCTAACAAGTGCAAGGCATTAAGTTTGAGCTCAGCACCGCAAAAAGAAGAAATGGCCCAGGTTTGGTTTCCAGCTTAGTGGGCACCAGAGCTTACTAATGAGGTCACTGACCTTGAGTAGATTTGAAACTTCAGGTTCTTCATTTCCCTATTGGCCAACTGGAGATATGAAAATTTAGTGCCATTTAGGAAAAGGTCTGGACAGCACAAAGTACTTTCAAAATAGCCCTTCACACAAATCTCTATATAAGTATCATTCTGAACAGAATTATTCAGATGTCCACAGCGATTTACTTAAAAAATGTCCAGAGCAATTTACTTTTAAAAAAATCTTCTTTTCCAAAGTGATCTGGCCAAATAAAAACAAGGCTCAGGGAGAGTTTTAGTTTAAAACTAAAACATGAGTTTCTCACCAATTATTGAAACACGTAACAGATAAAGTGAGTTTTACACAAAATTTTTAATGTAGGATTATACTTAGAGGTGGGAGAGGGAAGGAGGGAGGAAAAGTGAATATAGCTAATAAATCTTGTTTCTATTGATAGGCAAGCCACTAAAAGCTTATGTTTATAATGCATGGGGAAAAGGTTAGGGCATTTAGACAAGAGATCTGTATTTTTAAATACTTGTTTTCTAAATATTTTTTTCTCCTGAGTTGAAAGACAGAGCGAGCCAGACAAATCCGTCAAGACCAGGAAAGCCGCAAAATTCGAATCAGGCTCTGGGATCAGGCAGTTGGGCCACAGGCTTGAGGCCACATCAGTCACACTTTCCCCCAGAAGATGAGGGGAGTGTGGAAACAGCCCATTCAGTCCCAGTTGAGTTGCCTAAGGCACCTTGTCATTCAAGTTCCTAAGCATTTGGCCAGAGCCTGACTCACCCACAGGCTTGGACAGGTGAAAAGGATGGACATGGTTTTATCATTCCAATTGTTTTTTTTTTTCCCCTCTTCATAATCCCAAGGGATCCTATTTCTGTTCAAATGAAACATTTTAGAAACAAAACTGTAGACTTGGGGGAACCTGCCTGGAATTCTGGCACTCAGGGTTCCGGCATGACCCCAGGGACCCAGCAAGCCTGCCCTGCCACCTCCTTATGGTTAGAGTGAAACTTCCCAGATGGGTTTATCCAACTCTTGGCTAAATTTAAAATCCCCCCTGGCACCATAAAATCTAGTCTCCAGGCAGGTTTTCTGGTATGAGACTTCTCTCCACCCCTGGCTGACACAACTTTTCTCGGACCCATAATTTGGTATCTCCAAAAAAGGGTTTGGGAAAAAGTGAGGGGGTGGGGGCCAGGAGGGAGGACAGATAAGAAACTCCTTTCCCCTCCTTTCCCTTCCTCCTCTTTCTTTGTGGCCCTTTTGGAACATGCTCACACAAGTGTGACCCAGGGCCTCCGATTGTCAATACTAGGGTGTTTCACACTATAAAAGCAGAGACAGAGCTTGGAGATGTAACCTGTTTGCATCTGATTCACACGGATAATGCAACAATGGGGAATATACAGCCGCTGAAGGGTTATTTGTTGAGTAGATTGTTAGTTCTCAACTTTTAGGCTTCATAATGACATTGTGAATTATGTTCTTAAAAGGAACGCTTTAATCTTGTATCCACATATACCAAAATGTCTCCTAACCCCAGTGGAGCGTCTGGGCCGATACCAGGTCAGGGGTGAAGGAGTTTGGGACACAAGTGATGACGGTTGGAAGGCGGGAGGTGGGTCCTTGAGGGTTCCTCTCTGTCTTTCCCATTTTTGCACGTCTGAAATTAAGATTGGTGGTTTTCCCCCCTCTAGCCGACACAGCTCGTAGGAGCTAGCTCCCAGGCGGGCAGGGCAAGTTGGGCACCCTCACCCTACGCAGTTGCTTGGCAAAGGAGCGCTAACACCGCGATGGCGCGTCCAGGGGTGGCGGGGATGGGGTGTTTCTCCAGCACGAAGACACCTCCAGAAGCTGGGTCGGCTTCCACCTGCACAGCCCCTAAGCACCAGAGACGGCAATGCCAGCAGACCCACCGGGAGGCGCCGGGGGGGCCACGCTGCCGGCGTCCCCGAAGCTGACCCCTCGGAGACCGCACCCGGCACCGGGCGGCCGGGACGGATGGACAATGGGCCGAGGCAGGCCCGTGAGTGGCGGCGCGCGGGGACAAAGGGGGCGGGCCGGGACCCCGGCTCGGGCGTGCGGGGTGACCCGCGCACCCCCCCCTCACCGGACACAGGTGTGCGGGCGGGGGCGGGGCCGCCCGGTGCTCACCTTGAGGATGTTGTCGAAGATGGTGTCGCGGAACTCCAGCAGTGCCTTCTGGTCGAACTCGCGGCCGTGGATGATCCGCATCTGCTTCAGGAAGGTGGACTTGCCGCTCTCGCCCGCGCCCAGCAGCAGGATCTTGACCAGGCGGCGCACGGCGCGGCGCTCCCGGGCCAGCAGCGCGTCGATGTCGCGGCTGCG